TGTGGTGACTGTCCTGTCCACGCACAGCGAACCCCTTCCTGGCGCAGCCCCTACTCCAACCACGGGTTTGAGTCTCCACTTTCTGGCGTACGTGCTGCTCCATGCTCTGGGAAGAAGGGGGTTGGGGTTTGCAGCGCTCCTCGCTGGGGTAAGCGTCACCGTCGGGTCAGCCGCGGCCCCGGAGGGTGCTGGTGTGCTCGGCGAAGGGCAGAGATGGAGGGACCAGCCTCCATTCGGAGCAAACTCCTGCACATTTCGGATTTTAGTCGTTTTGAAAGGAAAGCATCAATTTGGTCTTTCTCAAAGTTTTCCCTGATTTCCCCAATTAAAATTATTTATTCTGTTCAGTTTGAATTAGCAAATAATTCCAGTTGTGCTTCCCACTTAGAAGGACCATATGTTTGAAGTGGAGGAGGGATCTGACCCAGTCCTGAGGAAGCAGTGGGAACAGAGCTCTGTGAATTGCTACTACACGGCGTTTGTGACGAGGCAGGAGCTAACGACCCTGCAGCTTCGCGATACCAATGCCCCAGCCTTGGCAGGTGCTGAGCTTGGAAGCTGGACTGCGCCAGCACGTCTGATCTTTGGGAAGCACCGACTCATATTCCCTGACTTTGGGCATCTGCAGTCAAGCTTTGGTCTCTCCCGTGAGCCATACGAAATAACAAGAAAATAATGGCCAAGAACATCAGATTTCCGATGACGCTGTTCTGTCTCAGTGGGCTCTTGCTGCCCCTTTCTGTCTCACGGCAGCGATGTTTTGTCAGTGAAGCTCCAGGATTTTATTGTAGGGCTAGCGGGGAGCTCGTGGCTCCAGCCACGGCCCACTCGGCTCTGCAGGCAGTCCCGAGGGCCCTGAGCTCCAAGCACTCCTGGTTCTTCCATGCCTCCTGCTTGCCCATTAGTTTCTGCTGCCCTGACGAGTGCCTTGTTACATTGCTACCGCCGGCAGCGTTCCCAGCTCCCGCGTCCAAACGGATTTGAGGAAATAACACGTAGAAACAGACGACACGACCAGACCGCTTACCCCGACACCTGCAGGCAGTGCCGCGGGGTCCAGCATCCCTTCCTGCTCTGGCAGCGATGCCCCAAGCGTGGCAAGGCCCCCCAGTTAACCGCCCACTGCACCCCGAGTCTGCAGAAGCCACCCAGGAGAGGCAGCAGCCTCTCTGCCTTCTGGGACACCCGGCAACGGGGCCTTTGGCAACCCCGTGCCGCGAGGAGGGCAGCGGAGGAGACACGGCCCCCGCCACGCCGCAGCTGCCGGAAAGCACAGTGCGGACGGGAGGAGCAGGAAACCTGCGTGGGGCCCATGGGTCCGTGCCAAGGGACTCGAGCTGGAGCAGGGGGACACAGTGATGGGAAGCTGAAGGTTCTGAACATGGGACTTGGCTATTGTTTGTCTTCTGGATTAATTTTATTTGTCTCAATCCAATTCTCTTGAATAAGAAATGAATTCTAGTTATTCCTCCCTCCCTTGGTTTTTTTCTACATCTTTGGGGGCTTTTCTCAAAATCCCATTTCTCTGCTCTCATTTGATACTGGATTTTAACATCCTTTGGCTGCCTGGGTTCAAAATTCACTTCATGGCTTGAACTTTCTGGTTGTGCATGCATAACATTGATTATTTCTGTGATAATCTAAATATTACGAGAAAAATCTTTTGCACGCATACCAAACTTGTTAAAAATCGGTAAATGCATTCAAATCCATGGCAGGTACTTTTAAGATACCCTAGATAAATCACGTCTTGAAGGTTCATCCTCCCACATTAGTTACAGCTGAAACAGTGAGTAGCCAGTTACCAGTTTAAAAAGGGTTCAAAACTGGAGTAAAAGGTATATGCAGCCTGATGCTTCTCAGCACGTGATACAACATTTTTCACACCGAGATTCTATGCACAAACGTAATTTCACTAAAAAAGGCCTGTGACTGGGATTACGTGTCTGGATTACGGATGGTTCAGATCCTCCTCCTGTTTCTCACGTGGGTATTATAAAAAGAAAAAAAAATCCCTGTTGAGATCCACATTACGTTGCCAACGTAACATCTCTCCAGTGAATGTTAAGATATAATTACCCTGTAAGGAATGATTCCTATTAAACATTTAATACATTTCCCTCTAATTGAAATTTAAGCCTTTGGTTGTGGTTGGGTGTCACTAAAGATGTGATTAAACATAAAATATGTATAACGCTTAACTCCTTTTGGGGTGTTGGGATAGCTTCCACTAAGCAGCAAACATAAATAATTTCTTTTGCACTCTCAAAAGTTTTTAAAGTAGCTCAATTTGAGGCTGGTACAGGAGGATCTCCTTCCTCAGATGAAAGGGAATCTTTCCCCAGCCTCCTCGAGCTCAGCTTCGCCCTCCGCCTTTCTGCCCCTTGTATCCTGCTCCCTCGCAGGGCTTCGTGCTGCCCCAAACCTCCCCCACTGCCTCCTGCCTCTCCACATTCCTATTCTGTGTCCTTGCTTCTCAGCCTGTGCTTCCAAGCCTTATGCAGAACATCTGCCATGAAGGTGTAATGGAGAGAAGTGTAGATTTTCCTTTTACGCCCGTAATCTGAAGGCGAGTGAGCTGAACGTGCCGAGCGTCAGCAAGGATACCAACAATAGTCCTAAATCAAAAACTTGCACGTATTAATATATCTTGTTCGTAGCCTGAAAACTATCCCTTCTCTGAGTGTCATCTGTAAACACCCATGTAATTCCACACTTACCAAAACTCAGACAAAGTCTCACAGAAGTACCGGCAGCTGGTTTCCCTGCCCGTCCTTCCTTTCTTCAAGCAGCACAGCTAACCAAATTTTGACTGCAGCATTTCTCGCCGCCACCTCTGCCCGGCCCCCTGGGACATCCGTGCTCAGCCCACTGAGGTGGCCCACCCTGTGGCAAAAATAAAACCTATGAACGTCAGGAGTGTGACAGTGCACCTCCTCTTGCACTCGTCCCCCTCCCCGAGCTGCTCTGCTCTCTGCGTTTTACCTGCCTTGAGCTGCTTGTTTGTGCATAAAAGAAGTGACAGAAGTTTGTTGCATGGTTCTTTGAAGATGGTCCTAATATTTGAAATAAATTAAGTCCAGAGAATCACTTTCAAAAGTGGCTGAAAAAGAAAACCGGCTGTAAGAATGTGAAACAAGTTAGTGGAGAAAACCTCAGCCTCAAGGACAGCTGACCATGTTCCTGGGGTTGCCTTAGACAAAAGGAGTCTCAGAGTGGAGCTTTCAGCAGAAAAAAAAAAAAAGGGTGTAGACTTCATGTAATCCTAGGAGTCTGAAAGCAGCGATTGTGTGAAGAGAGCCCTCTCCTGCCGTGGCACGCAATGCCCATCAGGCAGTTCTGCGGGGGTTTCACAGCCCACGGATGGGGCGGATGCGGGATTCAGCGCTGACACGTCTGGCTTCCGCAGGTTTGGTCACTGAACGTTGTGGTGGTGAAGGGCCAAACCCCACCTTTGTAAGAATCCCAGAGCCTCATGTGCCTTCTGCTTTTCTCTCATTCTCTCCCCTCACACACTGCGACAACCCGTGGTTTAATGCTGTGTTTTCCCTCCCGGCTGCAGCCCTGGGTCAAAGCTGATGTTTGCTACTTGCTTTCATGTGACTGTGTTGAAAACCCTTGAACACAACAGGAGAGGAAGACCATCTGGAATAAGGACCCAGCTACACTCAAGCCATCTCCAACACCAGCAGTAAGGTGACAGCCAGAATATGGGCTGGATTTTCAAACCCCCAGAGGAGGCTGCAGCACCGGTGGCTGAAAACAAACCAAACCCCACAACCCTTAGACTTACACATGAAACTCATTTTGCGTGCAAGCTACTGAGGAAACGACCCAGGATCTCCTTACCTCTGCTTTAGAGACCACAGCTCAGCCTCAGAGCAGCCTGGTGTCAGCCTGCAAACGTTCCCTTGGCGCACACCAACGCCTTTGCAACCAAGTCACTCCCACCAGATTTAGTTGCTCAATTCTTGTGAACATTAATTAGAAACAGCCTGTCTCTACATCACCTTGCTGGCTTCTGAAGCGCCCATCCATAAGCAGAAATCACGGGATGAGTCTAGCGAGACCAACAAACCAAGGGACAGGGGGCTTGATGCTCAGGCTCTGGCCTGCAGGGCCAGGCTAGAACTTGAGATTCACCAGTTGTGAACTTGGGGTGTCACTGGAAGAGATACAGGGAATGGAGATGGTAGGGCAGAACGAGGCAACACAATGGAATAATGCTCCTAGCATCCCCACGCACCAAGATGGAGCGCTGGCCTCCGATCTCATCAAACGCTCGTGAACCTGTGCAGGGCTCACAGGAATCGCCAGGGATTCTCCAGGGAAAATGAGCCCCAGCTTAACGGAATAGCGAGGACTGCAAGCGTAGAAGAGAGGGATCCTAACGTAGACGCAGAATGAGCAGGGACCCCTGAAACCAGGGATTTTCTGTAGGCAAAGGAATGGACACAAAGGAGTTTGGGAGTGCCAAGGTCAAAGGGAACTCCTAAGAGCTGGCAGAACCATTCCACCTTATCCCAGCACGATGCAGAAACCAAACCAAACACCTTACTGCAGATGTCTCAGTCTGGGGCCATGGTGAGAATCCGGAGCCACGTTCCGCACATGGTCACACACGTCCCTATCAGCAACCGCAACACGGCGGACAGCCAGGATGCAGGAGGCATCCTGATCTCTGCTGCTCTGGGAAGTGCTGACATGGGAATGAACCAATGCACAGACCTTCAAAGAGAGAATTTTATGGACAGTTTTATACACATACACAAATATTTTAATATAATGGTAACTGAAATGTTATCCATGTTCTTAGTACTGTCATAATTAACTAAAAAGATATTTTTTTAAATTTTGTAAAAATGACATATTTTACACATCTTCTATTTACAATTGCAATATACTTAAATGTTATAAAACATCCACTCTGACCTTTAAAATATATGTATACTAGGACTTAGTATTAGATATATTATAATTTATAGCAAACTTAGGGTTTGCTGTGTACCTATCTGTTCAGTGGGAATTTCGTAATCAGCCTGGCTTGCCAGAGGCTGCTCAAAACCAAAAATCGACAAGAAAAAAAAACAGGGAATGTGCAAATATTGGGGCAGGCAAAAAAATAATAATAAAAAAAATTCAAACTTGCAGTTTCAAAAAATAACACTGTGAAGACTTCCAATAAATTAAAATCATAACCCACAAATCCTTTTCCTGGCATTGTCCATGATCAAATTAATTTTCAGTACTATTAATGTAAAAAGAAAGAAAAAAAAAAAAACGAGGAACAAAAATTCCCAGCCATGCCAGATGTCCCCGAGGCCGTGTGCTTCCCACGTTGCAGTCAGGCGTCAGGGTTTGCCGGGGTGGCTGCTGCTGGCACAGAGGAGCTGGCTCTGTTGATGACTCGTGAATAAGTGCGCTCCATCCCTTGCTGCTTTGCTGACTCCTCCTTGTATGCAATCTTTTCACAAAAACAGAAAGAAAACAAAATACACAACAGTGAGAGAGACCACAGTAGTTTGGTGTCTGACGCGTTCATTGTCTAACCGAGCATTTCCCACTCTTATTGGTTACATAATGATGCTAAGGATCTGACAGAGGACATGGACCTTTGCCCAGGGACCCAGAAATGCCCAGAGGCTGCAGTGAGAGGAAGGATGCTCTCTGAGTCAGGGGATAAATGGGGCTGGGGTCACCGGCTTCTGCCAAGCGGTGCCTCACAGGGTTCCCTGAGCTATGTTTCCCTAACAACTCTCACACAACCGAGGAGCAACACCTACATTTCATAAAATCAGCAGAAGCCTGCACTAGCACCTACCGACCAGCCCCAGCTCTGCCCACGCAGTTGTTTGGGGCACGCACCATCCCCACGGAGCCTCACACACACGGCAGCCGAAAAACGATGTCCATGGGGCTGGGTTTGGGCCAGTTGCCAGGCTGGCTGTAGGCAGAGCTGCACTCCCGGGGAGGAGCAGTGGCCAAAGCTTGCTCTACCCCATCCTTACACATAGGTTTTACCAAGAAGAAGATAATTTTTTTCTGAAGTTGTTCTTTTTAGCCTTGGTAATAGCTGTTTTTCCTACCCACTTGTATAAATACAGACAGAAGATATGCCTTCTTCCGTGGGGCTCTCTGTTGGAGCAGCAGAGCCATGGGCCATCCCCACTGGCCACGCAGCCGGCAGGGGTGGAAGAGAAACCTCTCCCCTTGGCAAAGCTGCAGACATAATCCTACGCCATCAACCCCCAGCGTACAGGCAGGGCTGTGAGAAGGGGACCACGCTCACGGGACGGGGAGGCTTGGCTCAGTCAGTACCTTTCTACACTTAGAGAATCACAGAATGGTTTGGGTTGGAAGGGCCCTCTAAAGGTCATCTATCCAACCCCTCTTCCATGGGCAGGGGTGTCATCTAGATCAGGGATGAGGCACTGTCCCTAGCCCTTCCATCCATCCACTTTTGCTACTACTAGCACATGCTTTTGCATTAGGAGACTTGTCAAGCTGCCCCATCGCCCCAAGTTCATGCGTAGGATGCTAAAGAACGTATGTCTCAACGCTGCTCGGGGAAATGCATCACACATATACCTTGTCTTGTTGCCCCCACCCTCCCTTCCCTTTTTTTTTTTTGTTAACTCCCTGAGGAAGGGAGTCATTAGATGTGAAACTAAACAAACACACCAAGTAGAGAAACAAGCAAGGGAAGTACATGATATTAAAAGAAAAAAATAGATGTAAGAAAAATGAACATACCACTTTTGGCTATAGTATTGAGGGAAATGTTAGACAGGGAAGAAGAGAAGCTGTATAAGCAAGGACCATTACAGAGCTGTCAGAAAAGAAAAACAAAACAAAACAAGAAGAGAAAAACACATGGTGATGAAAGAGTCACTGTCAGTGGGTGAGCAAACAAAACCCTCTTGAATACGACAATGGGAAAGATGGCAAACCTAACTGGTGTAAAGCACACAGCACAGTTACAGTAGAGCCTCAAGCTTTCCAACTGCGAGACAAATATTTCAGCCACAGTTTACAGCCTGTGATTTCTCTGAGGCAGCGCCCTGCTCAGAAGTAGGGAGTTCACACATTCATGGCAAGAGGAGTACAGTTTTCCTAAAAAGCCATGCTGCCTGGAAATCTGGGCTGTCGCTTGTAAGGCTGCCCCAAGGGCAGCAAGGCTGGTTTTCAGTGAGGACTTTCAAATTCAGATGATTTTGGTTAAACAGATTGTGACTTCTGCTGGATGAACTCTACACATTAACACTGTTATGTACAAGTCATTTTGTAGTATTTAGTCTTTTCATTTACATGAAGAAAACTCAGAGCTCACTGATACAGAGGTGTGAGTATTTCATAGAACTCAAGAAATATTTTATGAATGCTGAAACTCATTGATGTTGACCATGCATCCTCAACACTTGTGGGGAGCAGTAGTTCACACAAGACGTACGGTACTGCCTGTGCACATTGACTGCACGGCCAAAATAACTTTCGAGGGACAGACAGGAACGCTGAGTAACAAATGATACCCTTCACACCTACATACTTAATATTAGTTATGATAAAATTACTGGAACGCTTGAGGTTCAGAAGTCTTTATACACCTAAACAGGAAGGGAGCACAACTCCGAACAGCAGCCACCACTGAGCTTGACACCCCCGCCACCACACACCAAGCCTTCCAAGCACTTACGCAGCTTTACACCCTGTGAAAGACCAGCTCAGTGCCACAGTAAGAATAACAATGGCCCAAAATTTCTGGTAAATCCTTATTCTCCTCAGATGTGAAGCTGAGCAATACAGTGTGGCCTAATGGGGTGCCAATTCATCACACCTGTGAGGTGTCATCACGAATACCAATGGTTAAAGAGGAATTCTGTACACAAACAGTGCCCGTGTGTGCTACAGGCACCTGGGAACGCAGGAACTGCTAGAGAATAAGCGTTTCACAGATGCAGTCCAAGGTGGCTTACACACAAGCATGCAGAGAAATAATTAAGCACGATTTCATTTGCACTTTAGTATGCAGCATCACTGAATGTTTGAATTAAAGCAGAAAACATAATAAAAAAGTATCTGCATAGACACAGCAATAGAAGAGGTGTGCACTGAAGCCAGTTCGGTATTGTGGGGTGCATTTCATATCATATAGCCACGCATGCTCATCCTTCCGAAGCTGCTAACAGCTGAAACAAGAGTTTTAACATGGCATGTGTTTTGACACTGTTCTTAAATATAAAAAAATAGAAAAGAAATAACTCTTGCTCTGAAGGCTGAATACAAATAGAAACTATAAAGATACCTCCTCCAGTTATAAGCTACATCTTAACAGCAATTTACTGTTTTAATTAAACACATCACAGCTGTAGGATAGAGCAAGCAAAGCATAAAACACTAGTTTAACTGATTATCTTTCTACGCCTCTAGACCTCAGTCTGAATTTAGCCTCATGAACCTCCAACTTTTCAATATGTAATGAGACAGGCAGACAACAAACCCCAGTTGATCAATCAGGTTCATTACAAAAAATACAGCTGGACTTAAAAGAAGAAAGTGGGGGAGGGGGATCAGGGGGCAAGGAGTAAGATGTTTTCTCAGTGACTGTTGCACTGCCAGGTTTTTCTTCTAGTATTTTGCTCTACAGCTTCATTTGTCACTTAGGTGTCAATTAGCCACCCTCATTCAGCCCAACTGGCACCAAAATAGGTGATCTAACCTGTTCATTCATAACTGCAGAGAGCTCGCTGAGCATATCCTTATAATGAGACTTCATCTCTCCCTGATATTCAAATTGGTCCTCCTTAATAAGGCGTTCGTTGACATCAAGAGCGTGTCCACATGCTTCTGCAAATTGCCTACAAGCACAAAACCACAAACAACCACCATACACATTATGTAGCAATGAACAATACCTATCCATCTGTTTACCCACACACACACTACTGTACCTCTTCTCCCTTTTGCAAATTACACCTTGTTAGAAGTGAATTTCAGAACTCATCCTCGGGTCAAGGGGAATGTAGGCTACTAGGAGAGCTGACTTGGGAATGACTTGTAAGACAGGGCAAATGCAGATGTAAATTAGCCTGGTTCAATTCAGCCCGATCTCATGTCACACCTACTCATCCTATGCAGAGGGTGGAAAGTGTAAACTTAATGTTTACCTGAAGATTTCTTTCAGAAGCTTAACTTGGTTATCAGGATATCTCTTCGCATTTGTCTCTTCAAGAAAAGCTCTAGCATAGGCCATTGGTCCAGCATTTACCTGGGGGAAAACCACACGGCTTAGGAGCAAAGAACAAGCAGTTTGTTGCCACCCTGTCTTGCCCCTCAGGAACTGGGCTCAGGCAACCGAGCCTGTATGAAGAACATTGCATTGCTCCTCCTCATCATCTGGATGAAACCTGAAGAGTTTTACTGAAGAAAAGGGGGTGGGTCAGCCTCGCACAACCTCTACGTCTCTGCAGGCCTTTCAAAGTCTCAGCTAGTTAACCACCTAGAAAGTTATACGCCTGAAGACATTAAAATGTGGGCACCAGAAACAGACACACATCAGTCCCAACTTCTAAACAGGAAATGCCAAAACTAACGCTAACAAAACTCCTTTAAAGTATCTGTATGCTTGGCTGTGTGATGGGCTGCATTCTCAAACGACACGTGATCGTCTTGTTAGAAAGGTCTTAAGATTTATTTAGAGAAGGTTTGACTGAAATAGTTGCATTTGGACATAAACCCAGCAGTCATCAACATCAGTGGAAAACTTTCCATTCTCTTACATTTTTAAAGCAGGCTCCAACAGCACTGGAATACAAGTTATGATCAGAAATACAAAATAGACAAAAGATGTCTGGAATGATGAAAATCAGAACAAAAATTTAGATGGATGCACTGAAAAGAAAAAAAAAAAAGGCAAATTGTCATTACCTTGACACTGACACTTCCTTGGAGTTTGAGCTGCAGTCGGATCATGTCCACTTCTTCCATTGTACACAGCTGATTGAGCTCTGATACCTTTTTGGACATCTCATCAATCGCTACTTCAATGGGGTTCAGCTCTGTGCTGGTCTGGCTTACGACTTGAATACGCTTCTTCACGTAGGGAAACAAGTGGCTGGCTGCTCGTGAGCAAGAAATGTATCAGAGAAACTCAGCCAGCAAGAGAGCGTTAAGAAAGCAAGACAATTAAGTCAAAGTGTTGACTTTCGACTGCGTCAATCTCTTTATCAATCTATACAAATTACGTTTTAATCACCAAATGAGCGATAGTGGCGCAGCAGGTCCAAACTGAATTCTGATGTACCGGGCATGGGAAGAGCATTCCCTTTTGAATTCACCACTGTTTGCTACTGAGCTCTGTCACATACACACGGTGAAAAGCTCGCACCGCTCAGGTTTCAGAATCCACAAATGTCAATCTTCGGAGTTAAAGCACCAAATGCTAAGCCTGTACTGAACTTCAAACAGCTTGAAATGCCCCAGCAAACATGTTTCAGGTTAGAGGCAGGAGCCTCTAGTTCAGCTGTATTGGGTATCGCTCACCCACAGATGAACTATGATTAAAACATCATTCTTGAAGGAAGCAGTTACTTTTAGTATTCAACCTAAATATTGCTACAGAAGCTGACAGAGGAATTACTCATCATTACAATCCCTTCCACCCAGTCAAGGAGTCTGGCAAAGGTACAGTTACGGTGCATCAGGCCTCATCCAAGCTAGCAATCTTTTCCCGATTGCCCTACACGCTTTGGAAGGCCTATGCCCTCCTCTGGTGAGCATCTCCTGCCAGTCAGCTCAGACCTAAATGAGCTCCAGCTTACAGGCTGGCTGTCTCCTTGGAGAGCAGGAAACCCAGGACTTACAGAGCTGGAAGCACAATGCAAACCGGGCACGGCAGAGAGACAGGGATCCACAGGCCGCAGCCAGAGTGCACTTGGCCCCTGCGCCAGGCAGGCCGCAGGCTCTGGAGCAGAGGTGCTGAGCAGGTGTTGCTCCAGCCACCCAGTCCCTCTGCCCAAGCACAATTACCTCCCACTGCTCCTCCAGTCACACCAGTAAGCCTCGCTTACTTCTCAAACTAAAAGCACTTCTTTTTATGTAGGAAGGAAATGAAAACATGACTGCATTGAAGGCAGGCAGGGGAAAAAACCAAAAACAAACAAACAAACAAAACCCCCCCAAAAAGAGGTTTCCTTTACAGAAAAGCACCGAGGTGAGGCAGATGCCAGAGGGAAGAGCAGGGAGAGGAGAAAGTCATCAAATTCCCACCTAACGCTGAAGATGAAGCCAGGCTGAGAGCACTGGGAGCTGAAGACACAGCGTGTAATAACCCAGGGAGTATGTTCTGCTGGAAGAACAGCCCTCTCTGTTTTTGCCAGACGTACCATAGCAGCTGCTCTTTCAAGTCAGTGAAACTACCTGCCGCAATACAGATCTGAAAACATCTACTGCCGCTCAAGCACTTAAAAAAACCACACACCAGCTACTCCTCCTTTCTTCTTCTTACAAGCAAAGCTGTGTCATGTAACAAGGTGCCCCCAGACATCAGCGCCTCTTCCCCGACTTGCCAGAACAAAACTTGCAGGCGACTAGGCCTGTACTGTAAGCAGCTTTCTTCACTTTGCCCTTTGGGAGAAGCTAAAGTCAGCAGGGAACTGGGTTTTCTGTCACTCAGGAGCCTTTGCTGTGAACATCAGCCTCCCCGCTCACAGCTGCCCGTGAGAACAACGTCTCCATCTCAGTTTCTTCTACTCCCAGCCAAAATTCAGACAGGTCAGGTGTCAGTAGTAGATTCACACAGGATGCCTCTTTAAAGATATTTCAACCATGGTAAGAACTGAAACATTTTCTGTTTAATATGACTCAGTAAGAACAGACACATTCAGTGCTCCCCGACATTCCTGTCTTAAAACACTGATTTAGTCCACTGAGATGAAATCTTAAAAAAAAAAAAGTATATAATGTATCTTGCTCCCATTTTGAACAAAAATTCATATCTGCTAAGTTTTCCTCTTAGCAGAATAGGCACCCTACTTTGTGTTGTCTTTGACCTGTTTATTATTAAAAGAACAACGGTTCTGAGTGCTAATCTGCCTCCAGCAGAACCACTCCCAAATTGCAAGAACTCCCACTGCCAGAACAGTTAAGATGTGAGCAATAAGGCAAAGGAAGACAGCTGATGACTCCCCAGATGAAAATAACTTTCCCTAGGACGGTGAGCAGGATCGTAAGGAAGCCCATACTTTGCCAACGGGCACACTGAAAAGATCACTCGTCGTTCTGCACAACGCGCGGTGCCCGCCGACGGCAGAAGACCTGGCACGTGAGACGTGCCGCTGGGCTGAGCCGGCAAAGGCGGGACGGGGGACAGGAGCTGCCTGAGCAAACGTACTTGTCAGGATGGTGCGCCTCTTGCACTGCTCTTCTACGCCTCCGTGCTTTTTTCCTGAGAGTGTGAAAGGTGTCTCAAACACAAACCGGTTGATGTTGTGATGCATTTCAAAGTCGGTCTTTCGATCTTCGGCTTCTTTCTCTTCAAAGAAAGGCGTGACATACGTCACCTGGATATAAGCGTATTTTGGATCCAGGTCTTTGGGGTTGACCTGTGTAACAGGGGCAAACAATAAAATTCTGTTTAGTGCGACGAACTGCCAGGGCACCCATTATATTTCTGATGCTTTTATCTATCATGGCAATACCCATTTAAAACTGACACTTCCTAATACCACAGATTAGCACAAAGATATTTAACTAGGAGGCCCCTAAGAACAGCGAGACTTTTGAATATAGCCCATGGCAAAAGTGGATGAGAGCTAAATGAGAGAGAAGAGAACCTGCTCGGCACTGCAGTGATCAGCTGCATGCTCTCTGCAGGCATACGCTGGCATATGCTCTCTTCCCGCTGACTGCGGTGCCCTGCTGTATGGCAAAAGCGGATGAGAGCTAAATGAGAGAGAACCTGCTCGGCACTGCAGTGATCAGCTGCATGCTCTCTGCAGGCATACGCTGGCATATGCTCTCTTCCCGCCAACTGCGGTGCCCTGCTGTAACCTTGCCGTTTCCATACAGGCACCTGCCATGCCGTAAGGTGAGGGTCCTTCTTCGCTGGTAAAACTAGGTTGTAGCACTTTGCACACACACTGGGTTCACACTCATCTGAAACACAGCGCTCTCAACACACGAGCTGTGCGCTCACCTCTCCCCCTCGCGCAAGAACCGCACGTCTTTTGTACCTTGTTGGAATCCTGGATGATCTTCACGTTATCTATTCCAAACTTGTCTGCATAAAGTTTCATCAGCCTCTGAGAGATCTCAGACAAGCCGGTTAATTTGGGTTCCTTATAGATATATTCTTTACCTTCCTCTTCTTCAAAAAACCCCTGTTTGGCAAGAAACGGAAGGATACAGTGAACACAACAAGCAGGGCAGAGGCTGAATGAGGTGCTTACATCGGGAATCAAGGTTGCCTGTGTACCCACCAGAGCCTCCAGTGTGCCACTTCCAGCACCTAAGGTAAAATCTTACCCCTCTCCGCTCCCAGCAGACACACACCTACATGTCTGTGCTCCTACTGGTTTGGTACCTCTGACGTTACCCGGGAAATAACGCACACACATTTATTCACCTAACAGACCCAGTGGTTTGAAGACTTAAGTGCTCTCTTGAGACCGCTGATGTGTGTATGATGAAAAAACCCTAATTAATTAAAAATTGGACATTAAAAATTCTTTACATTTGGTTAAACTGACTGTATCAGAAGCACTGTGCTAACAGAACACGAGTGTAAGAGCTGTTTGTGGGATGCCCAGCCCAGCCCGGATCATGCCTCCTCCGGCACATCCGAGCTGGGAGCTACGTGTGGAGGCAAAGGCCGGGCACTGCGCAGGGCACTGCTGCCCATGGCAGGGCACTCCTGCCCGCAGCAACGCGCAGGGCCGCGGCATGGGGAGCAGCGGTGAACCCCTCTGCGTCTGTCCAGGGCAGCTGGGGGGAACTCTGGTGGCATCCTGAAAGGCCAGATGGAATTGCAGCACTTTCAGAGACAATTAGTAAATGTTTTACATTTGAAAGTTAAAAAAAAAAACAAGAGACAAAGACACCCAGACTGCGCCCCTTTGCAAAAAAGCTCAATCTTGTCACGGTTATTTACTTATTACACCGGATGGACTTGGCAGAGCTTTAATAAAAGCCTCCACTGAAGAGCTGAACAAGAACCTGTCAGGCTTCAGAGGCAACACCGACCTCAGAAAATTAACCCAGCGTTGCATCGCGTGCAGGTGAGACACTCAACCCCAACGTGAGGAACACGGACTGGGACAGCTAATTCTGCAGTATGCCTAGGCAACTTGCCGTCTGCTGGGAAAGAAAGAAGTACCAATAAATGAAGCCACAAGATACCCCCAAAATCTCTTGGGGAGGTAGTCATGCAAAATCCAGCCTTTTCAAGTTGAAGCCTATGTCAGCTTTGGCCTCTAAAACGATAAACTAGGCAAAAAAAATATACAGAATTAAATTAAATTAGCTGCAAATGTCCGTGTTTGTTTAGGAAACCCCCACCTCTAAGCCTTATTTCAATAGGGATTAACAAATACGTGCATCTCTGGCTTCTGCTTCGGTGAGGACAAGGGGCAATAAATCTGTCTTTTAATTTGGCAAGTGCCAACAGCAACGTGGGCATTACTGGCAACCAATGACTAATAGCAACAACAGCAGCTTGTCTGACAGCGTCTTAATGTCTCACAGTGACCTTCTAACATTGCAGAATGTTTAATAATATTATCAATTAAACTCCGTAGGCATACGAAGAATTTCACAGGTAATTAGAAAACAAATCTAGAGCTCAAAAGCTGACCCCATATAAACATTTACTGAGCTGGGCAGGCTATTGACTCTCTATTGATTTCACCGAGAATAGATCTGCAGGATCATAACCTGGTTTCTGCTCTTGTTTCCACTGAAGCAAAACTGCTTTATGTGGGAAAACCTCATTAGGCTCACACAGCCACACTCAAACATGCTACTGAGGATTGCTTCTGTCAGAAACCATCTGTTTTCTGTTACTATTTGATGTTTTCAACAAAAAACCCCTTCAAGTTTCTAAATTAATCACATAGCAAACTAGAATATAGTTCATCCTCTTAAATGCTGATTCTGTATGTTTGCACGCTGGAACACGGTGCCAAATCTCTGTGCTGATGCTGCATGGCACACTAAGATGATATCTGTATTAATGGTTGTGCATTAAAAAACCCACAACCACCTGAAAACAAACAACTAACAGATTTAATCTTGTCTCTAATGCAAGGGATGGCATTTAAGTACATATTCCCTACAGTATTTCAGCTGACAAGCGACAAGCAGAAGTTAATTGTGAGCTATAAATAATCATGTCTGCCATATGCTATGTCTGGCAAAGACTACCGAAAGTAAGATTAAATACTTTTTAGGAGCCAAATATCCTCCGATTTCAGGATTTTAAAATATTAAGCAGCCAAGGTCACGTTATCAATGCATATCCCCAGATTATTTCAGACTGGCAGGTTTTGCCCTGCAAGAACACCTCAGCCTTACTGATGAAAATTACTCTACAGGGCAGCTGAGCGTGCTGGAGGGGAGGTGACCTCCTGGACAGTACGTTATTTGTTTCCACTGAGCTCCCATGTGCTGTGTCAAGCTGTGACCTGGGATTGTCACAGTTGGAGTGCTGAAAAGGCCCTTCTCCCTCTCCGTACACCCTTGGAGCTCATAGACTCTGCCTTTGCTAGAAGGATACATGCCATCCCCAAAGCTCATGTGCTTAGGTAAAACCACCAGTTTTGCTTGCCAAGAATTAGCATTTAATGGATTCTTCCCTGTCCATACTGAGTGAGCATCACCTCCTACGGCAGGTGAGTGCTTTGCACTCCTTGCAAGGAGGCTAAAGGTGTTCTATCACATCTGCAGAAGGGGACACAGCCTGCTTATCACTGGGCAAATCTGCCCTCCAAATCCTACTGCTTCTTGCACGGATAGAATCACGGAATGGTTTGAGTTGGAAGGGACCTTAAAGACCCCCCAGTCCCAACCCCCCTGCCATGGGCAGGGACACCTTCCACTAGTCCAGGTTGCTCCAAGCCTCATCCAGCCTGGCCTTGAACACTTCCAGGGATGGTTCATCCACAGCTTCTCTGGGCAACCTGTCCCAGTGCCTCCCCACCCTCTCCGGGAAGAACTTCTTCCTGATATCCAATCTAAACCTCCCCACTTTCAATTTAAACCCGTTACCCCTTGTCCTGTCACTACAGGCCCTTGTAAAAAGTCCCCCCCAGCTTCCTTGTAGCCCCTTCAGGCACGGGAAGGTGCTATAAGGTCTCCCCGGAGCCTTCTCTTCTCTAGGAAAGAAAAATCCCAGCTCTGCCTTTACTTAACACTGCTCTGAAAACAAGCCTTGAGCATCTCTGCTGCTCAGCACAATATGAATTTTCAGCTACTCAACATATTTAACAGATTTATTTATTTTAAATTTAAGAAAGATCTTGACTTCTCAAATCACTCTTCTGCAGGTAACACGATAAACACTGGCGAGTGTGGCCACTTGGTGGAGCAATGAGATGCTGTCACCAAAGGCCCTGACAAGGTTTGCAGTCTAAAAGAGCAGCTGCCATGAGATCCGGCTCTCTGAACTGGCAAATAAAGCTCCCTGGTGAAAACAACTGCCTACATCCTCCCTAAGGACTACATTCATTCAAACCATCCTTCCAGAGGGTCGCTGCAGCAATGCAGTAACCACATACTCTCTCTGTCTTTCCATGAAGAAGAATGGTTTTCGGGTGCAGCTGCAGATTTTCTTTTTTGCTAAGAACCCACAAAATTCTCCCTGCAAACAGTATTTGCAGTATTCTTTTGTCCTTTAATCTTTCACTGGAGTTTTTGTTTCAGATAAGAAATGGCAGTGTTCTGTTTTTACAAAACATACATGTATATATTTATTACTGGCACAATTGATAAAAATGTTTAATGAATAAATGTGTATATGTAATAATACGTTTTTATATGTCTGTGCTTACATATATATCTACCCACAGGTATTTTACAGAGCAGTGTATATGCAAGACTAACAAGAAACCCCATCCCTGCAAGTTTCCCTCTGTGGCGTTGCCTTTGTAAAGCAGAGCGAGTCATGTTGCTTTACACTGGTTTAACGGCGTAATCCTGATAAAACCTGCAACCGTTAGCTTTTGGGAGGACATGTGCAAAGCCTGCCAGAAGCACAAGAAAAAGAATTGCTTTTAATGATTTAAATGAACTGGCCACCACGACTGCTCTCAGCACGGAGGCCTGCGATGCTGTGGGCAACAGAAGGACCAAAAGGCTCCATACCTTTCCATTTGCACAGCCAAAATGGAAGCAAGTGGTGCACGGGGAAAAAAGAACTGACAGAAATACATAAAGAAAACCTTCCAAAGGGAAAAATACGCAGGCACAACCGATATATGGAAACAGACTGTTCTCTCTGTCTCTCCTTCCAGGTCAAGCTTTGTCTGTAGCTCCCACACCTCCTGTGGTGCTTTGCGTACTCCCTAATCAGTGCTGCACCCCCACTCCGACTTTCCTTGGTATATGAGGCACAAGTGATGCTGATGAGAACGATCTACCTTTAATTATTTGCACACTGCTATAAATAATTGTCACCACGCCTCTGCAAGGAGCGATACAGAGCCATCCCACCTTCTACCATGTAAAGCAAGAGGAAAGGAGGGAGCTGTGCTTGTTTGCATCTAGAGCTCGGTGTCCGGGGGCACTAGCAACACGCAGCGATGAAAAAGTCAGATGCCTTAGAGCACTGAGGCTGTTTAAATGAAGTTGCCCCTGTGGCACTGGCAGGAAAGTCACTGCATTGTAAGAAGAGATTTTAACCCAGTTCGGCAGAACTGCTGCAGCAGAATTGCCCACTCACAAGTAGCTGCTTCTGGGAAAGCCCTGGCAAGAAGTTGCAAGTAGGGGAGTCCCATTTCCCCCTTCTGCTGTCACCATTTTGAGGAAGGACTCGCCATGGCCCTCTCAATCCCAATTTGCTTGCTCCTTCAAGGGACACGGCGGCCACCCCTGCCCAGAGCGCTCCGGGTACCACTGCCACAGACGGCGCAGGCCAGGGAAGCAGGCTTGCATTCAAACAGCATCAGTGCTACACCGAGGTTGTCAGCAGAGGAAGACGGGGTCCGATCCCACTCCCAGTGAAGCTGAGAGAAACACTGTCACTGAGGTGAGATGAGGCAGCACTGGGCCCCGCGGTGCACACACAACACAACAGATACAGCTTGGTAGTCTGGGCAACTGAACAAACAAAAATTAGTCTGCAGGATGCAACAATGAGTGAAACGATGTTATTTCATCTGCCACGAACCAAAGATTCCAGAGCACAGGGAAGTTAATGTTAAGTAACAGTACAGGGAAGGATGGAGGACGTGTGAGGAGAATTAAACAAAACATGCAAAAGAACTAGACTTACCACAGCCTTGAATAAGACCAAAAGGAGAAAAGAGCAAATTTCTGCATTAAAATCTAATTAGCAAACAGAATGATTCACATCAATCTGTTGTTTACACACCTTATTGTTTTAGAGCAAAGGAAATTATGTGCTTGCCAAAACCAGGTCTTAAGAACATGCTGGATTGCTGCACTGGTTTGCAGTGGAAGAAAGCACAAAATAATGCTTTGAGGTTGCTGAAGCACAGCAGAGGGAATAAAACTACTCTACGGTATACTGCACAGAATCAGAGGTGGCCTGAAAGCAGAAGTCAGAGTCAGCGAGAAAGACACCAACACATCTCCTGCATACTGCTCTGCTTTAAGCTTTATTTGAAGAGAGGGCCATATACCAAAGAGATCTCGTCTTATTTAAGTTTTGCTCTGAAAAACCCCACCCTGCCTCACTCTGTTTGGCGTGATGAAGTCAAGAACGAAAGCTGACGTACACGTCTGTTCCCCATTACACCACTACACCCAACCGCAGCAGTTTACAGACGCAACCGAGTGTCTCTTCACTGAGTGAAATCCTTGGAGTCTGACCCATGAGGCGCTCTCTCCCCCATGATTCACTGCCAAGCGTTCCCCTGTTTTAGCTTCCCTGAAACACATCAGGATTAGAAGAACGTGGCTGAAATCTGGGAATCTGTGGAGACAAAAGAACACAAGTCGACTCACCTGCCCATAAAACGCCACACGGTAGTACCGCCCAAAGAGCCGTTTCTCAGAGTTCACTACTTCTGCAACCTTCAGGTACGAGCGGTGGATGTCGTAGTACAGATCAGACAGTCTCTACATCAAGAAGCAAGCAGAGCGAGGGAAGGGAGAGAGCGTGAGGACTTTGGGAAATGACACAAAGGCTCCACGCAAGCATGGCTTCTCCTAACTGGATTAGCAAACCTTTGCCAAGACAGCTGCGCGTGCTAAGGTTTAACCCTGGCAGCAGTGGCTGGAGATTCGTTTCAAGGTTTCTGTCAGGCTCAGCATGAAGGCAAGTATCCCACCATCACACAGTGGTAGGGCCCTGCTGAGAGGTCACAGAACCCCGGTGTCCCATGTGCAGGTGAGAGCAGGGTGCCAATAACCCCAATCAGCTCCCTACCCCATACACAGACATGCCGTCCACAATTCCCACCGAAAAGCACCTTCTCAGGAGAGTGAACAATAATTTCAACTAAGTTTAAGTCTGAGGACCTGCTTCCTCAGTGCACAGCTTATAGCTACCTACCTCTGTGTGTTGGTTTTTACATTTTAAAACCAGAAAAATCAGTAAATGAGATTATCATCTGGTTATCCATTATGTATGGAAATTGCGAAGTAAACATGAAATTAGGAAATCCTGGAATTGTGAAGAGATCACCCAGAGAGATCATCAGTTTCTAAACTTAAATATCACGTCCATGTGCTCTTGGTTTAAAAACATACATAAAAATTCACATCCACTAGCTAACAGAAGAGGTTGGCTTGAATTTTCTTTGTTCATTTACTATTGTACTGATGCTGAAAAGAGGAAGGTTTTAGAAGGTTACTAGAGTTTTTAATTTACTCACAGCAGAAAGCATTAAAGAGAAATTGCAGACAGGAGGAAAAAAACTTTCCTTTTGAAGAAAGCACTTCCGCCCCTCCCTAAAAATTTTGGTCTTTACTGTTGTCTTAAGATAATAATAAAAACCCCCCACGACCAAACCCAACTTACTTTGAAGTCCCTCTGCTTCTCAAAAACAGCAATGATAGGCTTGTTAACCTCAGCAATAAGCTCGTATCTCTCAGACTTCCACAGGTATTCAACGCACAACTCCAGCTGCTCCACAAGAATATTCTGCAGTTCCACAAATGCAAATAGTTCAGTGACTCAGCAGCTGGTGGCATTTAATTAATACCAATGCAGCAAAAGGACAGACCCACTATTTAATTTTTGTTCTCTGTCTTCTATATTAAGGTTTATTTCAATGACACGATGATTAACCAGGTATTGGTGACCTGGCTCTTCTATAGATAAAAAAACTGAAATAACAGTAACATGAAAATACTTGAATACTGGATGCCTCATTCAGAAAAATAGGTTTACTTTGTGGGCTCCCCCTGTTCTAACTTCCAGCTCTGGTACTTAGTGTTCTGGTCAGCTAAACACAGCCATGGCAGTTCACTCAAAAGCTGTGTGCCTTTTAATACTGTGTGAAGTCCACTCTCACTGTAATTTGTTGTAACATGCACGGGCATCCCTTAGAAATAACACTCTCTGTTAATACAGACCAAGTGTATAAATGTGAGCGCTGCTGACCTCATTATAGGGCGTATCTTGCATCCCAGAGTCTTCCTTCATAGCACCTTCTTCTTTAATGTTGGGGGTAATGCTCAGGAAAGCAGGCCATCCCATGGAAAATAAGCCTTGAAGTGCAAGTCATCACATGTCAATTAATGACGGAATAACCACATAACTCAAAAAGTTACTGGATGCCATTAAAACAGAGCTGATCTTATTTGACTGGATGGGTTAACTTCTTTCACAGCACAAGTGATGAGAAGCACAAACGTAACCCATTGAATTTATGAGACCATTACACATTTTCTCTGCGATACAGATCCGCTTGTCCAGGTAAAGGGCAACTACAGCATTTTCCTGATGCGATCTTTTTCCTCTCTTTGGCATTTGCGTCCCTCAGCCATAACTACTGGCAGTCCTTGCAGATCTATGCCTGCGCCGCTCGCCTATCCAGAAATTCCCGTGGAAATTACAGGCTGAGGCGAGACGGGTGCCGTGACTCCCACCCTGACCCCAGACACTTCACATCCCACGCTGGGACCTGTGCTCACGCCACCCGTCGGGTTTCCTAGGCGAGAGGGGCACAGTTGCCCGGGGCTTGCTGCAGCTGAGGGGCAGATGGCAGCTCCTGGCAGCTCCGGGGCACGCTGTGCCTTTCCGGGGCTTGAGGACAGCCTGGCAGCAGGTCCCCTCGTCCTGCCCAGGGTCAGGCGGGTGACCACAGCCCTCACCAAGGAGGTTTAAAGCGACCCACGAGTTCTTCACCTACGGTGATCTGTTCTTCATGCAAAGTATTTTACCACTACTGAGCCATCTCCAGAGTGTTGCTCTTCACAGAAAGCTGCTTTCTAAAAGGATGTATTCATTCACCTCACACACAGACACTTCCAAGTGCTTCGGAGAACCATGGTCTTTCCAAAACTAACAGTTTTCTCTTCCCCAGATATTTGCCCTTGACCCCAGAAATCGCTTTTTGTGAAAATTGCCAAAATGTCTCATGCTGAGAATTATTTTGAAATACACATTTCATAAACTACATAACCAGTGGCATAGAAGCATTTAATAATATAAGCCTGCACTTTATTTCTCCAATAAGCACCACAGATTAAAAAAAAAACCCTTTATCTACACTGAGTTACATATGGATAACCAGATATTAATTCTGCCCCCGTGCCCTCCCAGCTTTGGATAGTCAAGGAATTGGACGTGGATTTGTGTGCTAAACACCAATGGAACCGAGAGGGATTTCTGTTGCCGATGAAGAGCAGACCGCTCCGAGGCATTCTGAGCAATTCATCAAACCAGCCAAAGAGCATCGGGAACGTAACATATCACGTCGCCGACATTACTTGCTTGCTATTACAGCCATCAGCATGCACTATAAACATTTGGTAGGTACTTTTCTAGATCAACTGGAGAACAGTAATTCGATTCCCTAATTATGTTATTTGACCCATAAACAGGCACGGTTAGAGCACTCACTTCCTCCATTGTGAGTTGTTAGTAACACATTACTATCAGAGACTTGACCATCTTCCAGGAGCATACGTGAGGTACAAATCTTTTCCATTTTCCAGTAACCTATGATAGTGTAAGATGGTATTAGTACACTGCTACTGGTATGTGTTAATACATGCATATTTAATAACAACAGTCTAACAAGTGAAGCATTCTCTTTCAGCACTAGCTTACTAAACATTTAATTACCCCGCTTTACACAAAACACACACCTTCACTGTTCCAGTGCTAAGACCAGCATTTACGATACATTTTAAAAATACACTACTTGGGAAGAATTCAAGCAGCTTTAAGAATACTTTACATATAAGGAAGCAAAGCAGGACAGCCCAAATTTATTTTCAACAAGCTTTTTTTTTTGAGCTTACCCTTTCTTTTCAGGTACTCCGCAATGAGAGCAGCGATATGAATGTAGCACATCGCAGCCTGCAACGAGAGAGCAAGACACATGTACACGTTCAAGTACACCGTATGACTTAGAGCATACGTGTGACAAGGAGCACATACTTTCAGCACTGTCAAGTCACGCTGCAGAAAAGGGAAGGTGAAATTAATATGACCATTTAAGAAGATAAAGGATTAAATAACGAAATCCTTCTTGAGTGTTAATTTCACTAGTTATCTTAGGTAAAAGCATAGATTTGCTCAAGAAAACTGTTAAGGTTACTCAGTAAATAAGATACTCCTGGGTTATGCACTGGAATTTTGCAGCACTCATTTATGTTTTGATGACAAGGACAATGCGTTAGAAACAAAGCTCCTCTCCTGTGCCACAGCAGGGGAGAAGAAAACCCTTTATGTAGGTTATGCACTGCTCATAACCTCATCTACACTACAGCAGCCTGTTCTGTTTAAATATCTTTGATGTTTACAGCCTCAGCTGCTGTGCCTGTTAGGGTTAAGGAGCAGAGATGCTAAGGCGATACCGACCTGAGCTTTCCCATCAGACATTTTCAAGTCTTGCTCAAGCACGTGTCAGGTACCCAAAATTAGGCAAACTGGGATAATGAGCACATCACATCCCTAGGTGCTTTTCAAACCTGTCTTCCTCTAATTTTAATCACATGAAAGACACTGTATGATTCTCTGAAATCACTACTGTTGTCTTCCAGAGCCCTTTTCATCAGAACACCTCAGCCTACAGACACATGGATTTCCTGTTCACTGATTCACATTACCTCTGATAAATCTCCATTCCTTGCGTGAATCTTGGCCATGCTTTCAAGCCACGTCCTACGTAATTCAGGTGTGCTGGCGTATGAATTCGCTAGACTGTACTGCAGATCCACAAGCATCTCAGGGTCCTTCTCATGCTCCTTCATCTGAGCTGTGGCCATTAAAACCGTTCTGATGCGTTTGGTCAGATCCTTCACCTCTGCTGGGAAATTAACGTTCTTTGGGAAAGAGATAAGCAATACATCACTAAAACCATCCGAAGAGCCACATGCAGCACCCCTCCATGAGCTGAACTCCTGCTTATGGAAGACCTTCTTCCCCTTCCCTAATTCATAGATTCATAGAATGAATCATAGAATCACAGGATGGTTTGGGTTGGAAGGGACCTTAAAGACCATCCAGTTCCAAGCCCCCTGCCATGGGCAGGGACACCTTCCACTAGACCAGGTTGCTCCAAGCCTCATCCAGCCTGGCCTTGGACACTTTCAGGGATGGGGCATCCACAGCTTCTCTGGGCAACCTGTCCCAGTGCCTCACCACCCTCTCCGGGAAGAATTTCTTCCTGAAATTCAGCAGGCTAATTCAGCAGGCTTCGAAGCAGAGCCACACTTCCCCAGGACGTACACGCTGTAGGCAAATCCCTGGTGTGGTTTTACTGGCGTGTCACAGCCCCTCCCAGATACCCCAGTCACTGAGCTGCACCGCGGCCTGTAGCCAGCAACTCCGGGGATGGCTGCAAACCCAACCTCTTGTTCCTCGGTTGCTTACTGGATCCAGTGCTGGATTCTCGTAGGCTTTCAGCTGATGAGCAGTGCCATAGATGGTCCTGCTTAACTACAGGCACAGCATGTTTCACCGCGGCGAGTGAAGCCCAGCAGTCTGGCTCCGGGCCCTCTCGCAGTGCACAAGATGAAAACAGAGTCCTCGCATTACTCACGTCAGCTGTTCTCAACATACTTAACCCAGCTCTGCGGTTTCTCTTTTTCAGATGGGCAAGAAAATACATTTCTATTCTCAGACTTTTTTCTCCCCGTTCCCTTTGTTTAGGAGTACAGACATCCAGAAAAACATGAAACGAAATGAAATGCTCCCTTCTCTACGTCACACTGAGATGAGCATGTTACAGCAGCCGTGTGACCGACTGCAGTGATAGGAAACCAGACTTGGACTTTGAAAGGTGAAAAAACCAAATACGACTGTAACTGCATCTTCTTAAATAAGACATTAAATTACTTATGCTCATTATCTACCAATACACTAACTTTATTATTAACCTCAGTGGAGATACCCTGAAGTCACCTGAAGGGAAGGAAAAATGCCTCCAAAGCATAAAATCCAAAATCCATGTTGACAAATGTTTGGATAGGAACTGTAAAAATGAAAAACTGGAATCCTTTTCCCACACCTTCAGTACAGACCATGAATATAATAGCAATGGTAACTAACGCAAGAGCTACGTGCCTCTGGCAGGGGCTTAGCAAGCTGTTACAAAACCTGACTGTTGTGCCTGCTTTTGCTACCCATTTACTGAACAGACTGAAGGGACAGTTGTAGGGTAAAGATTGTTTGTTCGCGGCAGTTGTGTTTCATTAGGCACAACGCACGATACCTCCTCTGACATCAGGCAAATGGACAAAATACGCAGTGTATAACTGTTGTGGTTTAACCCCAGCCAAAATCTGCACAATTAAAACGTACAGTTTTCAAATAAAGTTGTTGGGGTTTTTTTTCCTGTTGTTTTAAGATGTATTTTCAATTATTAAGCTTCTGTGTCACAAACATTTTCATGACTTTCAGTCTGCTTTAAAAAGGCATGCTATGAATGCATAAATCACTAAGAAATGATCTTATTCACTGAAACACTTGCTCCTCTGAAATTGCTGACCTTTTGCAAGAGGTAATGACTGACAAAAGATGTTTCTTACTTTCATCTGCTTGTCTCCATTGGCAAAATTATTAATAATTGCAAGGGAATGTTGAAAACGAGATCCACCAATCCCGGCATCTGCTATCAGCTGGCTCACTGCCTTGATGAGCTGTACAGGGTGAGGGTGGGGGAACAAACAGGGTGGAATTAGCAGTGAAAACCACAGTTTATGAATAGTTCGTAATCCCTATTTTAGTGTGATTTGCTGTACCAGACTAGCAGGGACTCACTTTTATACCTGTCTTAAGCATATAACATACACAAACACAAGGACTGTGAGCAATCTTCCCAGCGATGGCAGTTGCTCGGAGTTTGCAGCGTAAGCACACGGTTACTGGACTTTACATGTCTCTTACTATAGTATCAGATTCTGTTTAGTGAGTTCATCAGCTATGTCCTCACTGCTGTAAGCAATGCACATGAATCAAGAATAGCCATTTATCTGGCTATTTATTGGCTATGTGGCTAGATTCACAGCTGTTGCCTTGCCCTGGAACACAGCTGAGCAGCTCAAGAAGAGCAGAGAATCTAGCCCGACGTCCTCAGACTTGGCACGAAAATCAGGCTGCTGCAGAGAGTTGCCTGTCTGAGAGCTCCAAAAGTATTGCTTTGCTACAGTGCATGAAAATAATAATGATAAAATACAGTGCACATCAGCTAAATCCTGGTGATCTCACACTTCACTTACCTGTAGGTGGGATCTGACTATTGATTTCTGCTTGTTAAACTCAAAGTTCTTTCTCATGAAAAAATAAAGAAGAGCAGAAGCTTCTGTCTGAGTTGAACGTGATCTATGGTTACAGCACTTCAGGATTTCATAGCAGAGTGAGCCGCAGAGATCTGCTTGTCCTTGGAAGAATGCTGATGGGAACTATTGAAAAAAAATGTGAATATGATTAGCACCACTCTCAGGCCTTGGTACAGTTATTATGAGTCAATACTTTTTTCTGCCAAAAAAGATGGATGGCTCTCCAAACCATACCTACTGTTTATCAGCAGGGAGGACATAGCAGAAAACAGACCGAGGAGAGGTGGAAGATGTTCATGCTGGCAACAGATCTCAAGTACTGCCTAAGAGGTTCTGCTGAAGGAACTACAACTGATCCCAGTTCCCACAGAACTATGAAAAGAGAATTCAATCTCGAGAGCTACAGGATGAATGAAAAGGGTGATCCTGGATATTTATTTGTCTCCCCCACTGCACAGAGTTCTTCCATTCTTGACTGTCTGGTATGTAATTTAAAGCTGTCTGTGGATGGCTTACTTTATACTTCTCCATATCCTCAAGCTACGTGACTGGGAGAAGCCTGATACCCTCCTCCTTTCCCCTGAGATAACAACCAGAGGGAGGCCACATGGTTTACACTGCTCAACACTATGGCCCTTCACAGGAACATCTGGGAGATGGGGACAGCCTTGCCTACTGGCACTTCCCCACAGCAGTTGCTATCTGTGTGCCACATGCTGGTGAGTTTTAAGAGGACCTCATCTAAGTGTATGACTTGGGAATAGCGCAGCCTTTGCAGCTGGCACTGTCTAATTGCCTGTGATCATTTACATATGCACAGTACAAGCAAATAAACAGTTTGACACGTGATCATTCACATATGTGCAGTACAAGCAAATAAACAGTTTGACACATAAAGATGTTTTTGTCCAACAACTCTTCCATGTTGACAAGGAAGTATTCATAAAACCGTATCAGTTTGGATTTCACTTTTGGTGAAGTGCACGGAATACTCTCCTGCTAGCTCCCCTGGGGACAGCTGTTCACTGTTGGATTCTGCATCCCAGGTATCTGCCATGAAGACCACGGACCTCTAGGGTTTCAAGTGTTCTTCCACAGGTGGTTAAAGCAGAAAAGCCAAGGGGGCGGTGACATAGCCAGATACCACAGACCTGGACATGACTTAGCAATTTACTCTACAAGTTTCACTTTCTCAGTAAGGTTTTTGTTCTCAGAAACAGAACTAATGTTTCAGATACTGTGAACTTCTCACTTTTAATCAGCAATAAATCAGAAGATGCTTGTCAGGAATTAGCATTAATACAGTGAGGTTCAAGACTCCTTCAGAGTACCCAACTGCCCTCAAGCTGCACTTGCTGTAACATTAATAAGTCAGGCTAACAGCATAAAACCATAGTTACCTTGGCTACAAAGAGCCGTAGGGCAGCAAAGACGTGCTTGAGAGCTGCTGCTGACTGGTTGATTTGCAGAAAGAGCATGTGCGTGTCAAAGACTTTCTTCATCAACACGTTCTGGCAATCAGACTGCTGGAGCTGCCTCTGAAAAGTTCACAGGCAAGACAGGACATTCTGGTTATTAAAGTGAATAAACAAAAGAAGGATCTGCTGGCCTTCACATCGGAGGGGTTCTAGGGAGATGCTGTTTTCAGTGTGAAACTTCTGTGGATGAAGTTTCCACAGAAACTTCTGTGGCATTCCCAGCTTGCTGCAGACTCTTTTTACTTGCAGTTTTTCAAGGACGGCACTTTTCCTATGCTTACGTTTACTTGTGGATGGTATATGCTGTGTTTACGGGCTACGGTGGCACAAAGGAGTCATTGAATCTAAAAAGAGCTGCCTGTTCTCTATTGGAGCTGTGAGACATTCAGCAAGTCATCTGGGCCAATATTCACAGAACAAGTTTTAAAGAGGCAGAGGATCCACATGCTGACTTGAAGGGATACAGATGATAAAGCAGTTTAGAAATCTTCCATCTAAAAATCTCTGAAATATAGTGGATTGAGCACAATCCAGATAAGGTGATGCACTAGAAGATGCAGGACCCTTCCATGCAGAGCAGGACTGTACATAGCCCTGGGTACATAGGATGCTCTTCTTCCACATCCTTCTATTCAGTTTGGGTACTATGAGTCAATTCCTTCATAAAATACCTTCACTGAGGACTGGTGTATCTTATTTCCCTATCCTGCTGTCTCAGGCATTCCGAGCTTTCTGTGTGCCTGCTCCCCGCAGCCTTCCCTTCCACCACATACCCCACATGGCAGCAAAGCATACCTGGTGGTTCAGGGTGTAAAGACACAAGAGGTCAAGGATTGTGAGGGAAACTTCTGTAGCAATGTTTGCCTCTGTGTCCACATACTGTACGATGTCCGTTTCATTGGAGCTGCCTGCAACACACAAAAAGCCAGAGGAGAAACCATCTTCTGAGTTTACTTAGAGCTGATGGAATTCTGCAGCCTGATCATTACGTCTCAGCACCGTAGAGACAGGGTCCTAACTGTACCTCTAACCAAAGGGGCATTTTGAAGAAAGCTGCTCGTAGAAGATGAAAGGGGAGGGAATTTGAGTCAACTTTTACCAGCTGGATGTGAATATATTCTTATGTTGTTTCTGTTTGTCCTCAAACAAAGAGAGAAACCTAATTGGAAAGTGGGATAGATGACTTTGATCTCATCACTTAAATAACCTTCTGTCGTGAAAAGGTCACTTCATTGCTAGATTTAATAAATGTAATATTTCAGCTGGTGTATAACTGCTTGTACAGCAAGGTACGTAACCATAGATGGAATAGATGATGGGAAGGGGGGAATAACTTGTCATTGTCATCTAAATATGTCAGGTTATTGTAATTAATTTTGCTTCTAAGTGAACTCCAGCCAACTTTTATGCTCAGAATTCTTAGTCTCCTGAAAAAAAAAAAAAACACAACCCAAACTCATCAGCTCTATTTATGTTTAGGCTCCTCTCTTCAGGCTATCTTTCACTGAAACTCATGAAAACAGGTTTATAGAGACATATCCAAACCCCACAGAAATCCAGAGGGAATTAAACATGGTTCTTTTGTACTTACTTGCAGTGCTGCTGTCTATCATCTGCAAGAGTTTGGGGTTAGAAAGTGCATTTTTGCCACGGATTATTGGTAATGTTTGAGATCTGTGATGCTTATGGCCATCATGACCAGTAGAATGCATCCTGAAATTGAAACGCAGCATTAAAGAGCAGAAACAAGGAATAAACTATCATGCTTATACAGAATTTTTCCATGTCAGTCAGAATTTTCTGCAGTACTTTTCAAAGGCTCATTTATCATCAACTGATGCAAAATTTTTTTCAGAGAAACAAAGATGAAGAAGAAAGTCAGTGAGGTGGACAAAATAAACAGATGTGCTGTGATTTCTTGAGATCACAGGAGACAAAACACTCAAGAGCGCTGAAAAAAAGCATCAGCTTAAAGAGCTGGCTGATGTTTAGAAAACTGCCTTTCAGTGAAGAGAAACTGAGATGAGTTCTGTTAACTTAGAATACAAAAAAATATATTCTGCTCATGGAGGAGCTAATACAGCTTCTTGTTCAGCCTGGAGAAGAGAAGGCTCCAGGGAGACCTTACAGCACCTTCCAGTACCTGAAGGGGCTACAAGGAAGCTGGGGGGGGCTTTTTACAAGGGCCTGTAGTGACAGGACAAGGGGTAATGGGTTTAAATTGAAAGTGGGGAGGTTTAGATTGGATATCAGGAAGGAATTCTTCCTGGAGAGGGTGGGGAGCACGGGGACAGGTTGCCCAGAGAAGCTGTGGATGCCCCATCCCTGGAAGTGTTCAAGGCCAGGCTGGATGAGGCTTGGAGCAATCTGGTCTAGTGGAAGGTGTCCCTGCCCATGGCAGGGGGGTTGGAACTGGGTGGTCTTTAAGGTCCCTTCCAACCCAAACCGTTCTGGGATTCTGCAAGAGGAACAATATGATGACAAACTGACAATGACAGTGAAAACATGCGTGTGCTTATGCCTGTGTTCTTTTAACCCTCTTGATGCTGACAAACATCATTAATTTATAATGAGAAGCTCAGAACTAAAATACCAATGCTTCTTGTAATTTTGGAAAGGATTTTGAATTTGTAACCACTATAGTACTCAGCAAGATTTAACACATTGCAAAATTCATGTAGTTTATTAAAATACACTTTTATTCTGGTTTTTTTTTTTTTAAATGTGCTTCTTAGATTTGTATAACTGAAAAATATTCTAGGACAGAATTACTTTCTGCACCTAGCTAAACCCTCTTTTAAGTTAGTTACTTTCACAGGAATAGTTTAGAAAATGAACATTTCAGATTTAAAATCTGAAACACGGGTATGGAATTGATGGCCAGGCCAGTCGATGTAATAAATTCTTCCATGAATGGTCACAGTGGAAGGATTTGGGTGGACATCTTGGCAAACTAATGGACTCTTTTTTTGGCAGGGGGGGAAAGTCTGGTTTCCCATGAACATTTCAGCAAACTGAAATACCTAAGTGCAAGTTAGAGATGACCACCAGCAATACCTTATCTCTCACCTCATCATCAAAAAATGCTCTGTATTACAGCAGAACAAACAAATAGCCATTTGGACAAAAAAATGCTGATCTGTGAGGGGGTCAAGTATGAAGGCCCTGGAGACAGGAGCATCATGACTTTATTTTCTGGACCGCCAGTAGTGTTGGTTCAGCTACAAATGCGTAACACAACAGTCTCCTCGAGGCTGCTTGCCAGTTCCAGCTGGGGTAGTGAAATCAGTGCTGCTTCTTGAAAATGGCACAGTAGGGGAACAAAGAAAGAAGTGTGGCAGAGAAAGCAGCTTATTTCCCCTTTGTTCCATCCCAAGATACACGCTTATAATGGTGAGCGTACTCTAGCTACGTGTAAATGAGAAAGTCAATGATCCAAGCTCATGAGGAAGGGTGACTTCCTCACCATGCTCTTAGAACCCCAAGATGCACAGAGTCAAAAGTTTGCTTTCTCTCTGGAATTTTACATTATTAGCATGAAAAAGATCCCGCTTTCCCCTAAAGGGATCAAAAAGGTTATTAAAGATGTGCTGCATCTGAAGCTTATTACCATTCTATCCATGAAATGATTAAATCTTGCAATGTTTAGACTAGGGAGATAGAGGAGGAAAAAAAAAAAAGGAAAGAAAGATTCAGTAACGGGCAACATGGACGTAACAGTGTAAGGCTATGTTACACTTAGCAGCACAGAAATAAAAGGATGGGCATCAAGCAAACCTACTCTTAAAGCTGTGTCTGTGTTGCTGGGGCATCCCCCTCCACAACCCCAGTTACTGGGGAGAAACAAATCCCCCACCACCGTAACTTTGTCAATAAATAAAATACCCCTAAAGCAGTAAGATTCCCTAAAAGCATAAGGTTGCAGACCTATGAATTCCTTCAGGATGGGGAAAACTGTGTGTTATCTTTCCGACAGGGATCTGAGCTGAAAACAACAGCTACTCTTTCTGCAGCACTTAATATTGACAGTAACTAAGGATTCTTCTGAACATAACATTTTAAACAACAATAAGTCACACTGAAGTTAAAGAGACTCAAGGCTTTTACAGTTTACAGCTCTGGGGGTTTGAAATGGGTCAGAGGTTGTGTCAACCTCTTTTCGGTCAACCCTGTGACAGCGTGCGAGGCTGGAGGATGACAACAAGGACTGTGGCTTCATAGGAATTAGGAATACGACGTGTCATTACCATTGCGAGAGCAGACCCGATGCCTGGCCGGAGGAGTTCGAACCTTTAAGGGTTCCATTATTCTGGGTGGCCTGCACAAACTTAAAAGCAGCAGCAATTTTCCTGTTAAGAGAAAATAAGGGTTAATGTGTTATGGAACGTGACATTGATTTTGCTATGCCTCTGCAGAATAAATACAGGCCTGACAAAACCTGCCATGGAGCATGAATTGGTTCATCTGGTGACCTTTCGTTTTTCCAGTGTGACAGACAGACAAGTTCACAGTGCTAGCATTAAATTAAAAATGAAGCGTCGACTGAGACAAAGTCTGCATCGCACATTTCACAGCTGGGACACCATCTCATGCTTTTTCAGAGAGCAGGTAGAGGCAGATTTTTTAATTGCTGTGGAACATTTGTCTATGCCCACTAAAACCATTCTTTGCATTATACAGATGGAAAATAACAGTGTCCAAGTTCCTTTGTGTGGCATATGCACAGAAATATGGTTGAGAATGGCCCCATAATACGGGTTACAAGCACCCTACTGGTTACGAGCACATGCAATTCATCTTTTACACCAGGTATGTGCTCAGATGTTCAGAACATCATGCTAACATTGTTGCATTAAAGAAAAAATGTAATATTCATCAGCTTCAGCATGGAGACAACTGATACACCGTTAACCTTATTTAAGCCTAATGTAATGCAGAAATATGTAAATACTGTAACATACAGTCTATAACTAGAGAATTACCTTACAATATTGCGTTTTCCTAGATATCTGAAATTTTGCAGACAAACCCTGAAAGAGAGAACAAAAGATTTCATGTCTATTAATGGCTTCCTAATTGCGAAAAATAATGAACCTTTGTACTTTGAAGAGACCTATGGCATATGCACCTCCTAAGAAGCAAGAAGAATACAGAGTTCCCAGCCAAGGGATGCACAGGATGTGGCACCACTTCCCACACCCTTATTCCCTTTCTCCATGGCTGAAGAATCCTGCTTGTTGAGGAAGCAAAGTCAAAAGCAAAGACTTGGCTGCAAGATGATGAGGAAATTCTGAAAACGCATGGGTTCTGCAGACATGCATAGATTGGATTGAGCAAACCAATTTGGATATGTGGCTTTTCTTACGGTTTGGCAGTTTTGGGGAGCTAAGTACTTTTCTCAAGGGTAGAATAGAATCTCAACCCCAAATGAAAACTACTATAAAAATCCCTTTTAAGAGGAACACACAAAGCATTATGCCTCCTGTTCATGGAAATAAACTATTGGAGAATACAGATTTTGTTAGCAATGTCTCATTATAACTTCAGAAAATTATGGCAAAATAATCTAAGATACAAGGTTTATCTCAGCCTATTCCATGAGGTGGACAAACCCAAAGAGAAATTATTTGCAGCTGTCACTTTAGAACATCATTAATATTAAACCAACCAACCACAAAGTGAACTTACTCTAAAATGCTGAAGAAGTCAGTTATTTCTGAGAACGGTGCCCGCAACCAGTAGGAAATCAGTGCATCTAAAGGGAGATATTAGAATATATTATGTATCTGTTACAGGGAAACTTTACCCAACACGTGTAAAATACCTTGATAATTATTCTAATTTAATGTTTGTTTGGATTCAGGATTCACAATATTTTACAGCAACGTAAATTAGGTAGTGCACATTTTCTTACCTTCTGAAATGGTTTTCATAATGTGAAGGAAACACATAAGAAGGCTCCTAGTTTCAGCTTGATCCAACTTGTCAAAACGAAGAGTTGATCCAATCAAAGACAAAGGTCTCATGATCTGTTGAATTGACAGCAAAGGGCCTTGTTAAGTGCAGTGACAGGTTTCCACCTCTAGCAACCGTTTTCAGCATTTCAACACATGTACCTTTTCACACGTGTCAGTTCTCTCACTGTTTTTTTCATTGGTACTTGGGTTAGATTCAAGACTTGCTAAGGAAGCTCTGGAGTCAGCATGGTTTGCTGCAGAGATAGCTATTGATGAAAAGGCTGTAAATGAAAGTCATAGCAAACGTGCTAAACTAAAACATTTATGGATACAAAAACTAACAAGAAAAATGGAAAACTTAAAACGTGACACATGCTGGATTGACATCAGTGCTTTGAACTTCCAATAGCAAAGCTATTGATGGGTATGTTTAGTACTGAAAACATGCAACAGGTTGACATAAAATGATTCAGTTTGCTGTTACTCATGGCAATAAAATGGCCTGTTGCATTCTGTAAGACCTGACCTAAAGCCACAAAAATCAGTGGAAAGATGCTCGTGCACTTCCCTGAATACTGAAATGGTGTTTGGAGGAAGTCAACAGAATAAGTTGTGTTCCTGCCCTTCCATTAAGCCTGGAAAAACCAAAAATACTTGCCTCCAAGAGACCTCAGGGGTTTTCAGGTGAAACCTCGAAACTATTCTTAAGTCAGGCAGAGACTGCAAGAATGAGCTCAGGCCCAGGGATTTGTGAGAGCCTGAATGCTGGCATCATTCCAAAGCAGGAGAGTAAGTGAAGCAGTGGAAAAGCAGCAGCTTCACAAGAGAAATAGAAAAAGAAAACACTCCAAAAACACCCAAAGGGAAGAGAAACATTGCATACCATGTTTCCCTGAATATCATATAAAATGGGTTAATGATATCTTCCGTGAATACTGAGCAGAAAGCACGATGGACTGAGATACACAGAAATCTGCCTGCGTGCGTGATCAACCTGTCATTTATACCTGCTATAGAGTTCAGAACGTCTTTGGAAAAGGACGTGTCCACAGAGTTTGCATGCTTCATTGCTGCCTGGCCCTGAAATCCTCCGGTTGTGCTCAAATCATCCCTAGATCCCTGTATTTGGAAATAAACAGAACAAGCTCCCGTAAATGCTATCACTCATAAATTTCACGATGACAGCAGAGCCAATAGGCTTTTCTTAGACACTGACCTTGAAAACCTGCTTTCAGTTGTTTAGACACGACAGCCTCAGAAGAACAAGCCTTACTACAATATACGGAGCAATATGAAACCCACTTATAACTGGAGTTGTAAGGGATAGCTCAAGTCTAACTGTGTTTCCTTCTTAAACACTAGTGCAGCACTGGGAAAGGAGCATTATTTGCTGTTGGCAATGATCAGATGACACAGGTTGGTTTGCTAGGAGGACTGAAAGACACACCACCCCTGCAGAAATCTGTTTCTAGTCTTCAGAGCTATGATAGTAACACATCTAATTTTTTAAGAAATAAACAAACATGCTTTTCCACATGCACAGTTTATACAGGCATCTTCTGCAGTGGTAACTCTTTTAGGATATTTCTGTACCCCTTCCCTCCTTTATCTACTTGTGTGCATTCCCTCTGCCTCCTGGCATAGCTCACGGTCCCTCTGTTGTACCAGCAAAGCTGCTGGTGGGCCCACGGCGTAACCCTGCAAAGAACCTGTGGGCGATGGGAGTTTTTCTGTATGACAGCATCTCCCAGTCACCACCCTGCCTGAGCACAGGGCCCTCAGCCCCAGCCTGCAGCACCAGGGCAGATGTACTGGATGGTGCCTGGGTACCATCCTGACCTGGGACAGCCAGTGTCCTGGGTCTCTTCACACCCACAGTCTGTACCCTTCCGGTACAGGCTCCTGCAGGTGCTCTGCAAATCGACACCTTCCAAATGAAACACTGGGGGTGCAAACACATCAGCATTTTTGGGAACTGCATTTTGTTAGCTAATTCCAGAAATCTTGGACCTCTTCCCACCAGACTGACTGGGTCAGACCTCAGCTCATTCATTTCAGCGCTCTGAAAAAAATCACACTCATTACCTGATTGGAAGTATTGATATTGAAAAGGAACATATCCTTCATGTAAATCCTTGGCATATTGTCCAAAAGCATTCCATAGAGTGGCATGTACAGGTTTGCTATTTGTGCCTGTTTTGCCTAAAAAAAATAAAAGACACAACATAATCCTGAAGAAACTAATTAATGTATACTGGTCGCAAAGGAATTCTCATATACGTGTAGCTACTGTATGAACAAGCAAATGAAAAAGAATAAACGGTGTCTTTACCGGCTCTGCATATCGATCATCAAACGAATGCTTTGCCATCAAGTTTTTAAGCACAGCCAAAGCTAAGTGCCTAATATCCTGGTCTTCTTGCAAGGCAAAACCAACCTCCCGCAGCAGTACTCCAATTAAGAAATGTTTACGGCAAAATTCATTGGTCAGCGTGTACTCTGGAATATCTTGGAACAAAACAGACAAGAATGCTTAAATTAATATCTAGGTTACATAAAAAGAAAAAAGCCTTTCACATTTTCCAAAATTTCAGTAACTTCTATTGATTTAATCCACTGTCAAAACTTGATTTCCTGATCTGTCCCATTCTGCTCCCTTAAATGCTAGAATTATTAGATATTAATATATCTTGAAATCATGCAGTTTTTACTATTTAATATCAAAAGACAATTTATATACATATTCCCATATAAGAATTTCAAAATGTTTTGCACACAGTAAGACTATTCACTGAGCTTCATCCCCCTGTTTTAGCCAGAAGGGTTCTAAACCACAGAGAGATCCAGACTCATTCCATTTTTGAAAATGGTAAATAAGCTTTGCCTAAATTTGCCATAGTTCTGTGACAGCGGTCAGAGTAAATCTTAAAGCTCCTGATGCACAATTCTACTTAGTCCTTACACAGTCATTTTGTTCGTACCTGATGTCCGATATTCCTGTGTTGATTCTGAAGGGGTCACAGGGTCTTCATTTTTCATGAACAGAAAACAAAAATAGGCAAAAATCACGCATTTACTTATTAAGTGTAAAAATGTATTTGCTGTGTACCATTTTTTAAAAAATTGGCTCAAATCTGAATGAAACATCTTCTGCTGCTAAGGAAAGCTATGAATGCCAGAACTGAACTCCTTTTTGGGTGAACACTGAAGCAAAAAGGAGACAAGGGCCCATAGTTCGAGAGATGCTGCACAGAGAGGTGACTCTGTCTTCCACTGGAAGGTACCTTCCACTCTCAGCAACTTAAAGGACCACATTCCAAGTGGACTTCCCTGAGGCCACATTAAACTGTCAGGATTGTGCCCAGGGCTGAAATCCCAGTGTCTTTGAAACCAAGGAAAAGTGCCTGATACTGGGCATTGGCTACAAAGCTAGGTTTGAACTAACAGATCCAACGTGCAGATGGCACACACGGTGGCTGCTGGCTTTGGGGCACGGGCAGGGTGAATTCACTCCTGTGGTGAAGCACAGGCAAAAATGCTTCTCTGCAAGCAAACACGTGTTACACACCATATCCCCTGCCCTGGGAAGCAGCTCAGGAGGTAGGACTGACAGATTTTGAAGTGGGTGCCTCTCGCCTCGCTGCTGCAGGTAAAACACGGCAGCACGTGGTGACCAGAAGTACCACCCCTGAGAAGCCATCTGGGGCTTCCATGCCCAACGTGCAGTCACGATACTTCACTGAGTTAATCAGTCCTTGCTCTTGGAACCTCCCGATAGCTTGCTGCTGTATGGAAACCCTTTTGGGGTGACGCCTTACCAGGAATGTTTGAAGACCGTATGGGCAGGCACAGAGGGATAAAGTGCTCATGGTGACAGACTTCTTGGAGAAAATCAAATTTGAACTGATGTAAAGTCTGAAAATCACAACAGGCAATGGCTCAGCTCATATTAAAACAGGAGAAATGATAAGACAGAGCTGCACTACTATTTATCTCTACCTCGAAATTCACACTTACACCAACAATAAAACCTCATGGCTTGTTATACCAAGCTGCACAAATAATAAACATTTGGTTTCCTTCTCTGTTATCAAAGGAACTTGCCACAGTCGAACAAGCTTTATCGGATTCCTCAATGATGATCTGTCACAAGATGTACTGAAAAATACCCAAGCTAAATATTTAAGGTATATTTAAAGCTACACTGGCTCTTTTGATGGCATAACATATAATCATAGTGGTATTTTCTCCTGTTCACATAAATTTGGGACCATAATATTATGTCTGTCTTTTCTCCTTTTTTTTTTTTTCCCTATTTTTTTTGGTCAACCAAATACAAAGTTTCAGCCACAGGCCAGATGCAAACCTTATTGATAGGGATGAAAATTTCTTTACTGATGCTAGTGAGTTCCAGCCACTGAGATATAAACATAACAACTGACATCCAGTAATACATTTTTATTTCAGTCTTCTCTTCCCATCTGCTCAACTCCCTGTTCTAAGTGGCAGAAAGGAGTCATCCAGTACTACCAGTACGGCACTGCATTGATCCAGGTGAAACACTGGCCCTGGCATTAAGAACTGCTTGTGAGGGTCTTAAACTTGCCCCGAGTTTAAGCCTGCAATTCCCTGACAACCTGTAGCATGTCTGTTGCCAGCATCAGGTTAGGATATCTGGAACTTGTACTTTTCAGGGTCTATTGAGTAGGGGATGGTGGGGAATGTCTCCCTGAAATGTTTTATTGCACTGTAGTAGCTAAACAGGAGTACAGTTGGACAGGCAAATCAGTGTCTGGTGGCAAATAAAGAAATGAAGCACCTGAAATAGGTTTCCCAAGAACAATTGTGGCATTTTGAGGGAACACAACAATGAACTGAGTTCTTCAGAGGTATTCAACTTCTTAATAAATAAGTATTCTGAAAATGATGTTTAAATGTCAAAATATGGAATACTGTGAGTGGTATTTCTGTGGAACAGAAATCACTGTGCTTCATTCACAATTAAAATAAATTCAGACTCTTATAGACTAATATACCCATAAACTGTTTATCCAAGCAGCAATAGATGCTGGTAAATGTTCTGGAGAGAGGTTAGATTGTAGTATAACCTTTCTGATACATAACCAACCCAGTGAAAGAAGCAAAAGACACACCAAACGAAATCCTCCAGCATGTTTTAACAACTGACTCTTGCTTAGGCAACTGAGTGAAAAGGAAAACAATGCAAGGCCCTTCCTTGAGGCCTGAAGTCTGATTTTATTTTGTGGCTATTGTTTTCAAGTGCTGCAAAGCCTGTTCCAGCAGCACATCTGTCTCAGCTTTGCAGTGATCCTGCTTCCACGTGTCCTGACAGACGGCTCTGGAAGGATGCTGGGTGGCTGGCAACGTGCACTCACTCACTGCCAAGGAGGTGCTAAGCTCTGCTCTGCACACTGACTAATGCCAGGCTTTTCCACTGGCCGTTAATTGGCTTTTTTAATTAAACATCTGTTTCTGTGGTTGGATGTATTTAGTGAAGTCTGAAATGTGGGAACAATTTTCAGATTATATAATCTTGTTTACAGAACTATAGAATTCAGGGTATGACATTAATATAAAGAGATTCCATTCTATGTCTGTTCCAGAGATCAGGTGAAAGATCCAAGTGCAGCATAAAGTCAGTTTTAGTAAAAAAACAAAACAGGCCTGGAGTAATCTCACTGATTACCTACAAATGCCCAGATCACTGCTAAAGAATTATAAAATGTTAACAGACAAAAGTTTTGTAAGCTTTCTTAGGAGATGAGTCATCCAAAGTGTATATATCTTGAGTAAATAGTGTTATCTATCATCTTACATGCTCCAGTATGACAGCTCTGAAATCCAGATGTGGAAAAGAAAAAGCCTGTGACTCATCCTGATGAATGTGAAGCATAAAGGAGTCCAACTGAATTACTTGGGGACTTCTTGCCGTTTGAAATTTATTGTTCAAACTACATCACTGATTATTATAGGTATTGTAGAAGAAACTCAGGCTGCAGGGAATTTTCCTCATGGCAGGTACAAGATAATTTGGAGCAGATTGGATTTCTTGCATCATCAATGAGGTTAGAGTTTGCCATTCATTCAAAGTAACTGAGACGTTACATTCTCACTTGAGTTGACACGATGGGAAGTTGTTCATAGGCTCTTACTTTAAACTCCTCAAAGAAAATTACTGCCAATTGCTGCTGATGTTTGTAGACCAAACCACGTGTTTGGTCTTTGATCCTCTAAGGAATCAAAGCTGACATGCAAAGAATTTCTGACTGGTCAGCATTTTGCATGCTTCGGTCTGAGCAGTTCTTGCAGAGCTTGCTCACGCTCATGCTCAGCGAGTAGTTGTTTGGACACAATTATTTACCTCCAGAAAAGGGGACAGATGAGGTTTTAACACATATTTATAGTAAACATTTTCACTGACTCAAGTTCTGAACATGGTGAATCCATGGAATAGATCATAAATAGTTTCAACCTAAAAATATTCTGTTATCAAGTTGCCTAGGGGGAAAAAAAACAAAACCCAAAAGCAAAACTATACCTTGCCATCTCCTGTTCCGAACATACTTATATAATTGTTGACCATCTTGAACACAAATCCACGATCCATAAATGTAAAACAGCGCTAAGAAAGGGGAGAAAAAAGAACTGTTATTTTATAGCCAAAAAAGAAGTATATGGCCTCGCTCACCTGGCTGTTTGCCTTGCATCACCTATAAACTTGAACCATCTGTGCAGGTGAAGTTATTCTTATAGCAGGGCAAAGAAAACCAGGGAACTGGTGAATCTGACTCGATTTTTAAGTTATTTTCAGTAATAATACATTGATCACACTTCTCATTTTCACTGTGTCTACAGTCTAAAATAACGATCAGAGCGTACAGTGCACTAGGGGAAAGCTTATCTAATGAAAGTCATTCATGTGCTGCAACACTCAATCACTAGAGGTGGTACGTGATGGGACCTGACCTGAATATCTCCTTCAGAGACTCCTGAGGAATCAATTTAGCCACAGTATCTGCTATGAGCCACATTATCTCTCTGGGAGCAAATATGCCACTACGCGACTTTACAATGAGATCGCTGCTGTTCTCTTGACTGATGGGGCTAAATAGCCAGAAAGTATAAAGGTTTTGAGGGCCTGGGTGTTACAGTTACTGACATTTTTCCTTGCAGGGTCAGCCTACCAGACAGGGAATGCAGTCTTGAATTCCCCCCTTCTCTGGTGTTCCTGAACTCTGCAAAGCTAGTGAAGCACCAAGCCTCCTGCCACACAGCATTCAAACAAGGCAGCTGCAACCCTGGCCTGGAGGAGGCCATATCATCACTAACCTATGAACATGAGC